AGTCGTCAGTAACGGATGGACATCGTTCCGGAGAGCTAACAGCTGGTTGCCATAAAAGAGAGTCATATTATGCCTAACAAGTGAGAACATGATTGGAGGGGGATGCTAAGCAGAAGGGGATGGACAAAGGAACTCACAACACAAACACCATTGGGGTCGGCTCCAAGCCATATCAGCAAGTGTCCAACCAAACGTGTTCACCGTCCTTAGGACCCCAGCCGGGCAGTTGGGATGCACCAACCAATACAATGAATCTTTCCCTCAACAAATTTCTGATGCTCTGGCCACCGCAGAGGATAATCAACGGTGCCCTATCTGCTGCATCGAGCAGGGTAGATAGGGATTTGGATGCTACTGCTCAAGCCTTCCCATCTTCTTATTCCCCTTCTTGCGCTTTTTCACTCTTATCGTCCCGTTCCAACTTCACTTTTATCCCCCTGTTTTCAACCCCCCAATTTTTGGTCCTCCCCCACCTTGCTTCAATAGTCGCTTGTCTTTTAGTTTCAACTCACAGGTGAACGCAGAGCGTCATTCCTGCACTGTCAACAGGCCCTTGTCCAAGCAAGCGGCCCATTCCAGTTCATCAGCTTCCATTTGGAGCCCTTGATCCTCCTTCAGACTGGCATGCCTCAATGTTCGCACATTGCTTCAGATCGGTCAACAGGCAGCACTTGCCCGAACATTAGAGACCCTCTCGATCGATATCTGCTGCTTATCGGAGACCCGCCTGCAAGTCTCGAGCTCTGTACTCACTCTGCGATCCCCTTCAGGTGACACTAGCAGCACTTTCTCATTGCGCCTACCCGGTGACGATGCAGCTTCGAGCACCGGCCAAGCCGGTGTTGGTATTGCCCTGAGTCCCCGGGCTGAAGCTGCTCTGGTTGATTCGATTCCAATCAGTAGCCGGATGTGTGCGGTCCGATTGGCTGGCTCGTTCAAAACTTCGAAGTCGCGTGGGACTAACAGGTGTCTATTCGTTATCGCTACCTATGCACCGACAAACTGTAGCGATGACTCGGTAAAAGACGACTTGTATCGTCAACTGAACGAACTCCTTCGCCACAGAAGAAGCTGGGACACTGTAGTGCTGGCTGGGGATCTGAACGCTCAAGTTGGAAAATTATCCACAGATGAGCTGCATCTGGGAGGAAAACATGGTATAGGCTCCCGTAATGATAACGGTGAGCGGTTACTTCATTTGTGTGAGGATGCTCGCTTATTTCTTGCGAGCACTAATTTCCGACACAGCACCCGCCGGAGGGTGACTTGGCGCCCACCAGCCTCGAACCAGCTATGGACGCAAATCGATCACATTGCTATGTTACCGCTGAAGAGGCTGCGTCCAAAACTGTCGCTCGATTTGGAGCACAGGTGTTGACACCGATCATGCACTTGTCGGTGCTGACCTGCGGATGCGCTTTGGCGGACGCCCGCGAGGATGTTGTGAGCGCATTGACACCGGCAGATTGGCGAAGCCAGCTGTTCTGAACGCCTATCAAATTACGCTGTCATGCGAGTTGGATAAACGCTCACTGGATGCAATTGAAGCTCACTGGTCTCATATGCAACAGGCCTTACTAGCAGCAGGCAAATTCTCATGTGGTATGTCTAATCGCCAACATGAACATTGGGTCTCTTCACAGTCTCTGGAACTTATAGATGCTCGCCGGCATATTCCGGCTGGAAGGGAACACAATGAAACTCGCAAAGAGCTCCGGGCGAAACTCTGTGCTATCCTGAAGAGAGACCGTGAATCCTGGTGTTCCCATCGTGCATCAGAGATGGAAATGGCCGCCGGCCTTGGTAACCATCGTAAGTTATTCCGGCTGATACGGGAAACGAGCAGCAGAAGACCTAGCGTTAGTGAAACTATACATCACGAGAGTGGACAGCCTATCCACAACTTGTCAAAGCGCTCGGAGCGTTGGGCTGAGCACTTTGAAAGGCAATTTAATCGTTCGGGATTGTTAGATTTCTCGCCGGCCACTGATCGCCCCCCTCCTTGGGCTGTCCCTTTGGATCTACCCTCTCGATCAGAAGTCGAACGTGAGATCAGACTGTTGAAGTTAAATAAAGCCGCGGAACCAGATGATCTACCTTCAACTTGCTTCATATTCGGGGTGCCTGTTCTTGTGGATTATTTATACGAGTTACTAGTCAAACTGCGGGAGCAGGAGACTGTCCCAACCGACTGGAGCCGCTCCATCATAGTCACAATTTTCAAAGGAGGCTCACGATCGGAATGCGGCAGCCCTAGAGGAATCAGTCTGATCTCCATCGCCTCCAAATTGCTTGCCTCTGTCATCCTTCACAGACTGACTGGCACTCGTGAAAGCCATATTCATGAAGAGCAAACCGGGTTCCGTCGAGGTCGTGGTTGCGTTGACCACATCTTCACTTTGCGTCAGTTATTCGAGGACCGTCACATATATTGGCGGCCCACCGTTGTCGTGTTCCTCGATATCAAAGGTGCATTCGATTCGGTGGATAGACATGCACTTTGGGACTGTCTACTCAGGAAAGGTGTCCCTGAGAAATATGTGAATATTATCCGAGCATTATATGCGCGTAGCTGGGGCAGAGTGAGGGCTTACGGCAAGTTGTCGTCGCCCTTTAATATCTCCAGCGGCGTGAGACAAGGATGCCTGCTGTCACCTTTCTTCAACTTCGCTATTGACGAAGCCATGGAGTTTGCATTTACATGACATGACTTGGAAGGTGTGGAGCTACTCCCAGGGGAACGACTTCTTGACTTGGAGTATGCTGACGATATTGCCCTAATCTGTGACAGTTCCCAGACGTGCCAAGCGGCACTGGACAGATTAGCACTGGCTGTCAGCCACTTCGGGCTTTGCTTTGCACCATCGAAGTGCAAAGCGTTCCTCCAAGATTGGCCTGGACCGCCTCCTTCGCTGATCCTTGGTGGGGATCAGCTAAAAGTCGTTCAAAAATTTAACTACCTGGGAAGTTGTATCAGCGTTCGTGGGATTGAACATGAGATCACGAACCGTAAAGCACAAGCTCGAGGCGCTTTTGCTAACCTTCGCCACTTATGGTGCCGGCGCGACATTACTCTCGCCCTGAAGGGTAGAGTGTACAATGTAGCGGTATGTTCGACCCTACTGTACGGTTGTGAAACCTGGCCCCTTAGATCAGCGGACATAAAGAGGCTAGTTGCGTTCGACCACCGGTGCCTTCGTAAGTTAGCTCACACCTGGTGGGAACACCGCGTGAACAACGAGCGTGTTCGACGCCTTGTTTATGGCACAGGAAAAGGAACTGAACCGTTCAGCACCGTTATTTCACGCACCAGGCTCCGATGGCTCGGGAACGTGTTACGCATGCTCTTTGTCTAGTTGATAGAGTGCTGAGATTACATACATGCCAGCCCACCGACTCCCGCGATGTGCGTTGTTTGCGCACCGGGGGTGTGGATGGAAGAAAAGGTGAGGGGGCCGAGGGATGATTTGGTCCAGAGGAATAAAGACCTTCGCTTCGAATTTGGCCTCAGTTGGTGCGTCTCGGCTCCCTGGTTGGGGTCCGAAAGACGACGAACATGTTTGGCTGAATACACTTGTTGATATGACTAGGAGCTGACCTTAGTGGCGTTCGTGCTGTGAGTTTCTTTGTCCCATCCCATCCTTCTTTGGCTTTTGCTCCACCCACGATCTCATTATTTACAATTTTATAATTTTGCATAGGAAATCACTTTTTTGCTTCATAGTGGCCGGCAGATAGTTTACCGGAACGATGTCCATCCGTTACCGGTCGCTCAGCTGGCTTACACTTGTAGCTTTTTGTTCTCTTCATTCCTTTTAGGTATTGCAGCACAGTAGCTGAGGTGTTTCCCACCTCTGTCTAACGTATGGTGTATGTGTGGTGTCTCCCGATTTCCGGACTGGGGTTCGATGAATAACGGACACGTTTGGTTGGATAGACCAGTTGAGATGGCGAAAGCCGACCCCAGTGACATTTGTGTTGTGTTTCTTTGTCCTTCCCTATCCTACATCTTTTTCTTCTGCAACCACGTTCTCACAAGTGACGGTTGTGGTGGCACTAAAGACCCATGCTACCTTTTTGGTCTTATATTGTATTCTGCAATGTTCTCATCTCATTTTTTTCATGCATCTTATTTGTATTGCAGCGCATTAGCTGAAGTGTTTCGATTGCCTTCAGTTCAGACGTAATCATGATAATTCTGATAAGTGCAGTTACTTCCAGTACTTAATTGAAATTACTTGTTTAATTTACCCATTGCTGATGTAGATATTTTGTTTTTGCACTGTGTATGTGCATAAGATCGCTGCATATGAGTACTTAGATTACTTGTGTAATATGTTTTTTGTTTGTCAGGACGACACTCGACAGAGCCCAAAGCTGGAACAACCTTTTAGTGTCTGCATTCTGAGACCGAAGCCGGAGCCTACGGATGCGCATTCGTTAACAACATCTCCAAATGGGGAACAAATTGGTCCCTTTCTGGACCGTCATGAGGAGCCGCTGGATCGCAGGGGTAGATGTACTCCTGATCGGTCTTTCAAAACCGAGCACAACGACATCATGAGCTCATTGGGCACACATTGCATATCTTCGGTTGGAGATTTACCGGTGCCTTCTGCTTCCGAACAAGGTATTAATCGAAAGTATACGTACATACATGTGTGCATGTGACTTAACACTTGTCAGATTACTGTATACTTGGCATGATGTCACAGCTATGGATAGTGGCGTTAAGGTTGACAGAATGATCTACAATTGGGCAAAGTAGAGTCTCGCTGTACGTTTGTCATTCTGTTCCAATTTTTACGGTGTTGGAGAACGTTTTCGGTTAGGCATGCTCTTTGCACTTGGGCTTTATGTAGTTGCTTTGTTTGTTTATCTCATCAAATGGCGGTATCTGAAGGCGACTTAGATCAGAGACAATGTGCTGTATTAAACAGGGACGTGATAAAACGAGCTACCTCATCAGAACAACCAATAGCACTGAATAAGTTGCGTTGGCTTGGGCATGTACTACGTGTGCCTGGTCGCCGTCTACCGAGGAAGGCCTTGTTTATTCTGCCAGGTGTAGGGTGGCGCAAAGTTCGAAGTGGACAGACGTTGATTTGGCGAATGGCCTTGACATCAGCGCTTCTACATTGCGTTGGCACCCTTGTTTTGGGTCCTTCCAACTTGATGCCTCCTGTTTGCACTTCGTCCTCGATGAAGCGGACGTTATGATCGAAGACAAGGCTGTATCAACGTTTTTATGCGCGGTAGACAACGACTTCCACTCACATACCAAGTGTTTCTCTTTTCAGCAACATTCAGGTACGGTGGGTTGTGTTTACAAGCTTATTCGTGTCCAGTGTAATTGGATTCCGGATAAGACGTAACCAGTTACTTTCCAAAAATATTCGCCTTTTGTTTCTTTGATGGCACCGACAAATTTCGCGCCTTGTCAGTTAATGCGATGCTTCTAGCTTTGGTGTTGAATGATGAGAAGACTGGATGAAATGCTTCCCATATACAACTTAAAGGTACGTTTTTCTTTAATACTAATGCACAATAGTGCTTGCTGTGTTAACGTGAACATCGACGATACTACAGTCAGAAACCGCGTACTGTTTGAATTTTGATTAGATCGAGTGCGGCCATCGATGGCAATTGTAAACGGAATCACATGCAGATGGAAAGTGCTGGGAGAGACAACGGAAGAATGCGCTTGGAGTGACAAATCAGAATAAGCATATTCTTCGTATCGAGATGAACAGGGTAGCTAATCGGGCCCGACCGGCACTGTGGCTGCTGTCATAATTTTACATCATCAGAGGTGCACGAGATGTGGCTGCAACTGAAATCCCTTGCCGCCACACCGAGACTTCCACTGTATGCACCGAATCATGTTATTGGTATCAATTTGTTGCTACCTGTGGATATCACGCACGTCATTTTCCTCTTCATCCCCGATGTGGTTGTTAGCCATTTTCCACAATCGGAACCAATGTTTTGTTTGGTGAGCTACCAAATTCCTCCACTACAACTTGTATGCGCTCACATTCTATCAGACCATGTGGTTTCTATGTAATTGCTTACTTTCCTTCCCTCCATATAGAAAAACGCGCTCATTTATGTGAGCACTGTGGGAGATCCTATACAACAAACAGCAATTTACGAGTACACATCAGGATCGTACACCAAAGTAAGAATGGGACAGTTTTACCTTACTTGATGTTATCATCTGCTTCGTCGCTTCATCGTCCCTATCAAATGGCTTCGTTGTCACCATTCACACTGATTGTCCGTTTTTTACGTTCTCACAAGTCCGACTCATGCTTGGGTTCATTTGTTCGCCGAGCTTCGTAATTGGTATGCAGACGTTTCGTCACCACGCGGTGACTTCTTCAGTGCGCTGCAGGGTCAAACGTGATCCGCTGGTTTGGTCGTCGATTTGTGATTGATTAGCAAGTGACTTGCGAATTGGCCCTCTCATTCTGTGCCCTGTGACCATTCGTCTATCCAGCTTCTCTGGTAAATATGGGCGTTCCGTAGGATGGTTTTGTCCCGGTTGTTGCGGCTGTGTTATTAACGGGTCTGTTAACGGCTTTCGACGGTTTTTAAGTTGTTTTAATTCTCTCCGTCTTAGCGTTTCGTAAACCGGGTCAATCTCGACGTGCATGTTTATCGAGTGCTTCGTCGAGTACCATGCCTCGAGGAACTCTCTTCCTTTTCGTGTCTCTCCTTGTGCTAGGATCTCTGCGTTGTTCCAGTCGAAGTGATGTCCTTCGTCGGTATGTATTGAAACAAGTGCGAGAGCATAATGGTTCTTACAAGCGCTCTTATGCTCTAGTATTCTTGTAGACATTTGTCTTCCCGTCTGACCCACATAGTTCTTATCGCAATCTTGACACCGTATCTTGTACACAGCATTTCGTCTTTCGTGTGCTTTAGGTCTAGCTTTGGGTTTCGACAGGGTTCTTCTCAATGTAGCGGTTGGTTTGCGAGCCACTGTAAGACCGTGCTGTTTGAATAATCTTGCTGTCATCTCGGAGTTGTTCTTTACATAAGGTAGAACGATTCGCTTTGTTGTCGTTTGAGCAGGCGGAGAGGTCGTAGCTTTGTTGTTTAAACATCGCCGGACAAAGCTGTGTGGATATTCATTTAGTTGGAATGATTTGAATAAGTATAACTCTTCTTACTTCTTCGCCTCAAGAGTGCTGCAATGTGTTTCAATTCTACCAAAGAGAGTCCGCACACAGCTTATTTTGTGACATTTCGGGTGACTACTGTAGTAGTTTAGAATCTGGTCCGTCTGTGTTCCTTTCCTATAAACCGATGTTTGCAACGCTCCGTCAATCGTCCTGGTGACTAACACATCCAAAAATGGGAGTTGGTCTCTCATCTCCGATTCCATCGTAAAATGGATGTCTTCCATGGTGTTATTGAGTAACTCGTATGCAGCTGCTACTTGACTACGTTTTAGTACCACGAATGTATCATCGATGTATCGGATCTGCAACTTTGGGTTGATTATCGGCAGTACATCCTCTTCACGTTTCTGCATTACTATTTCTGCAACGAGTCCTGACACAGGGGATCCCATTGGGGCTCCTTTCATCTGCTCATAGATCTGTCCATCAAAGACGAAGTAGGTCGCGAAGCATAGATCAAGCAGCTTGCACAGATTTTCAGTCGTCAGCTTTCCGACTGTTTTCTCACTTTGTTCCAGCCGTTCAACGATTGCTTGCTTTGCGGTCTGTAAGTTGACAGACGTAAAGAGTGCGGTCACGTCGAACGATACCATTATCTCGTCATGATTTACTCTTATATCTTTGATCCTCCCCAGCAATTGTTGTGCGCTATGTATAGAGTGTTGTGATCTAATTATTAGGTGCTTGAGACGTCTCCACAACTCTCTTGCTAAATTGTACGTCAGATATGGACGCCCGATTAACCATCCACAAGCATGGAAAGTTGCACGACAATTTGGGAAACACATGGTGCGGATCATGATCACGGACGCTCACAACAGATTCAGAAAATATGTGCGATGTATCAACGAGCATCGAACCAGTTGTCTGGGAGTTATTGGACAACAGTTAACAGAGCAGCTCAGCTTATCAATAGAGCGCAGAGTGGAGAATACTAGGAGAAGAAAACAAGAGGCATTAAAGAATAAGTTTTTTAAGTTGACTAACGCCAATAGCGAAACTAATTACAATGACTGGATCCGAAATCTATCCAATAGACCACTATCCGAAGCAGAAAAACAAGTCCTCACTAAAGGACTCAATTACAATTTCAAGGATGCTACAACTATGGATTTCCTGTCCGGATTCGAAAGTGCAATCAAATCCAGCGGGCTTGACGATTATACGCAGAAACAGTTGAGAGCTACAATTATTCCAGTTGTAGCACGTAACAAGCAACACACTTTTTATCTCAACAGGAAATGGATGCAATAAAGGCCGTGAAAGCTGATGGATCCATTTTCATTTTACCTGCAGAAAAGGGGCACGTGACTGTTATATTGAATAAAACAGATTATGTCGAAAAGCAAAACAGCTTCTGAGCGATACAACAACCTACCGCCGCATCGAAAACAATCCAACAACCCAAATGACAAACAAAATAAACAGAACGTTGAAATTCATCCAGGAACGGAATCAAATCACAAAGGAAGACCGTGTCCGAATGATGGCCTGCGATTCGAACATAGCGCAATTCTACGGGCTTCCAAAAATACATAAAGATGGTGCACCACTAAGACCGATCGTATCGCTCCCCGGTACACCGGCGTACAACGTAGCAAGTGAGTTGTGGAGACGTCACAAGCACCTAATAATTAGAACACAACACTCTATACATAGCGCACAACAATTTCTGGGGAGGATCAAAGATATAAGAGTAAATCATGACGAGATAATGGTATCGTTCGACGTGACCGCACTCTTTACGTCTGTCAACTTACAGACCGCAAAGCAAGCAATCGTCGAACGGCTGGAACAAAGTGAGAAAACAGTCGGAAAGCTGACGACTGAAAATCTGTGCAAGCTGCTTGATCTATGCTTCGCGACCTACTTCGTCTTTGATGGACAGATCTATGAGCAGATGAAAGGAGCCCCAATGGGATCCCCTGTGTCAGGACTCGTTGCAGAAATAGTAATGCAGAAACGTGAAGAGGATGTACTGCCGATAATCAACCCAAAGTTGCAGATCCGATACATCGATGATACGTTCGTGGTACTAAAACGTAGTCAAGTAGCAGCTGCATACGAGTTACTCAATAACACCATGGAAGACATCCATTTTACGATGGAATCGGAGATGAGAGACCAACTCCCATTTTTGGATGTGTTAGTCACCAGGACGATTGACGGAGCGTTGCAAACATCGGTTTATAGGAAAGGAACACAGACGGACCAGATTCTAAACTACTACAGTAGTCACCCGAAATGTCACAAAATAAGCTGTGTGCGGACTCTCTTTGGTAGAATTGAAACACATTGCAGCACTCTTGAGGCGAAGAAGTAAGAAGAGTTATACTTATTCAAATCATTCCAACTAAATGAATATCCACACAGCTTTGTCCGGCGATGTTTAAACAACAAAGTTACGACCTCTCCGCCTGCTCAAACGACAACAAAGCGAATCGTTCTACCTTATGTAAAGAACAACTCCGAGATGACAGCAAGATTATTCAAACAGCACGGTCTTACAGTGGCTCGCAAACCAACCGCTACATTGAGAAGAACCCTGTCGAAACCCAAAGGTAAACCTGGAGCTCACGAAAGACGAAATGCTGTGTACAAGATACGGTGTCAAGATTGCGATAAGAACTATGTGGGTCAGACGGGAAGACAAATGTCTACAAGAATACTAGAGCATAAGAGCGCTTGTAAGAACCATTATGCTCTCGCACTTGTTTCAATACATACCGACGAAGGACATCACTTCGACTGGAACAACGCAGAGATCCTAGCACAAGGAGAGACACGAAAAGGAAGAGAGTTCCTCGAGGCATGGTACTCGACGAAGCACTCGATAAACATGCACGTCGAGATTGACCCGGTTTACGAAACGCTAAGACGGAGCGAATTAAAACAACTTAAAAACCGTCGAAAGCCGTTAACAGACCCGTTAATAACACAGCCGCAACAACCGGGACAAAACCATCCTACGGAACGCCCATATTTACCAGAGAAGCTGGATAGACGAATGGTCACAGGGCACAGAATGAGAGGGCCAATTCGCAAGTCGCTTGCTAATCAATCACAAATCGACGACCAAACCAGCGGATCACGTTTGACCCTGCAGCGCACTGAAGAAGTCACCGCGTGGTGACGAAACGTCTGCATACCAATTACGAAGCTCGGCGAACAATTGAACCCAAGCACGATCAACCCGGTGAAGTCATTTTATACTCCGACTCATAGAATGTTGAGCTTTTCCAGACCGATTAATTTGTTTTGTTTTGTTATAATGGCTGCTTCATTTGCTAGACGCCGATTGAACGGCTACTGATATACGGTAAACTAAAATCACTTCATTTTCTGAAAAATCATTCTTTAACTTTTCTAGCTAAAACTAACCAACGCACTGGTTTTCCACTGAAGTGTTTTCTACGTGTTACTCTTTGTGTTCAGTTGTCCATCACAAGTGTAACTTTGCTTGATGAAAACACAAAACCTATCACATACGTGCGCGTCTAGATCTTGTTCACTCGGGTTCATAAGGGCAGCATTCATAGACAATGGGGTACTACCGGATGTATGCTAGGTCGGCCTGCTGCCTATTCTAAATGTACGCGGGGTGTTGTCAAATGGGGTTGAAGGATAACAACTCTCCGGACTTTTGGCCATGGTGAAAATGGCATTGGTAGTAGATTCGAAGGAACGCGAATTGTTAGCGAAAGTCAGATTGGTGTGTGCTGGAGACTTATACCTAGTTAACTATTGAGGAACAGAAGAATGCAACATAATGATGAATGTAGAACCTGTGGTGCTGGATGTTACCCGGTTGCCAAAACCGATGACACCGGACCTTAGCCTAAAGGTTAGCGAGCTTGTCTTGTCATCTGGCGGCGCGGGTTCGAGCCTGCGTGGGGCAGGGTGACCCTCGCAGTCTCCTTACCCCGCTTGCGACCGGTGGTGTTTGAGCGGCAGCGAAGCGTCGGTACTGCGTACCGGCGTATTGCTGATG